GATGGTGAAATGGATCTGTTTGCTCAACTTTTGCTTAAAAGTAGAACAGGTGCTTACCTAGAATGGTTAGATAATAAACTAATCCTGACTACTAATAAGGAACATACATAAGGATTCACTACTAGTATTGCTTTTTGCAAAAAGGAAACCCAGCAAACCATAAAGCTTATCATATCCTTTGGAGTCGGGAAATTATTCCCACTAGTCGTGTAAGTCTTGCGAGTACATTGTGTACTCAGGGTTTATTTATCCTGTTGCAGATGTAGCTTGAAGAGTAACTGTTGTGTGGAGGATTCTTCTCGTGGACACAGACAGATCCTTATATTCTACCATTAGGTGTTTATTGTAATTCTGTTGTTTAAATTCCGCACTCTGAACTTGATACTGTAATAATGTATTTCTAAGAACTCTGATTGTATAAAATGGACTAACTATTGTAAACTCATTCTTATTATTGGATCCTGAAGGAAAAACGTGGATTATTCGAGTTCTCCCTTAGGGTGTGCTCGATGGAATCGTCTCGATGTAGCTTGCTTTCGGGGTGCTTAGTGTCTGGTGGAAGACGAGCGCCTCTAAAGGTGTGTTATTTTAGGTAGTTCTGCCACACTCCAAAAACTAAAGTACCTCTTGAGGTACTCCACAAAAAAGGTGGAGTTGGTCCCTAACTCCACATTTTTCCTAGAGCCGAGTTTTTGGAGCTAGAGGTGTTTGGCAACACGGAGCTGGAGCGGAGGTGAAAAAACAGGAGCAGAGCAGGTCCCAAACACCCCCATAAAAGAACCTTATTGGTTTGTCTCTTCGCTTTTGAAGACCACTCAAATGAGGTCATTCATTGTGCTCTAGCGCCTGCCATTTCTCCTCCACCACTGCCACGCTACCGCTGGATTCTCCACTTCGACCCATGGCTCGAATGTTCCTCTGGCCGCCGGCCTTCTCCCTTCTCCACTAGGGAGTCTAATATGTTCTCTAATATTGTAGTAGCCTATCATCTATACGAACTTTCACTCCATGCTTTAAGGCATATTTAGAATAGAGGAATGCAAAATGGAGAAAAGATAGAAAACACAAAAAATAGAAAATAAACATAGGTAGAAAATAGAGGTTTGAAAAACACGAAAAAACTATAGTAATAGATGTTTGGAACATAATAATATAAAAATCAATTTTATTCTTCTATTCTAGTGAATAAGGACTTGTTGATTCCTCCATTATTCATATGTAGGAAACATTTTCAAGAGCTTGAAGAGGATGTTTTATTTACTCCATTTCATAAACTAAAGCAAGCCTTTTTATAGGAAAGACAAACTTCATTCCTTCGTTCTAAACACCGTATAATGTAAGCAAAATATAAAATTTGGATTTTTTAAAATTCCTATAAAAATTCTCCAATCCAAACAAATCCTTAGAGAAGCCAAACTATTAAGTACCACAGTAGTATTTTTGTTTAATGATAAAATAATAGTCGATGGAAGGTACAAAGTTGACGAATCAAGGATAAACCTAACATGCCAGCTCAGCTAACCTTTCTCCCAACCGTACCACAAAACCGTGTGTCGACCAATCCGACGGCGCAACGTGTTGGGATTTTAACCTTTTGCCATACTTACGGATGACACTCCTTCGTTTGCCACTTTTATACGCGCTCCTGCATAATTGCCATCGCAAACAGTGAACCTCCTACGTTTTTGCCATTTTTGCTGACATGGCACGCCAGCGTGGCAGTGAGCCTAAGAACTACAGAGCATGCAAAATAACCTATTTACCCCTATTGTCTCTCTCCCTCTACTCGCTGATGCGTGGGCCCCACATGTCAGCTTTGTCTTCAACCTCCAGCCATGACCCAAAGCCGAGCGACCCAACGGCGAGCGGGCTCTGGCGGCAGAGGGAGGAGGAGCGGCACATTGGCACCTAGGCCATGCTGCTACAGAGCTGTTGCCGCATAAAAGCTCCCTGCGCTTGCTCCTGTTTGTAGCTTCCATGGAGGCGGGTTAGAAGACTGGAGCTTGTATGGTGCTGCGGCCATGACTGGAGCTCCATCGTCACCATCGATCTCCACCATCTAGCCATCTCTGCTACTCCTAATGGGCTCTGCGGGTTCATAGTGGCATGACGACTTCACCCTGCTACTCATCGTTCGGCAACCCCCGCCCCATCGCCGTGAACCACCGCCGTCGCCGCCATTGCCGTCCCGAGGTCGAGCTCACCGATCTCCGCATACACAGCAGCTCTCGCCTCCCCGTCTCCTTCGTTGGTGCCGCAAGGACCCACCACGGCCGCCTATCCACATCTCAGTGCAAATCCATGGCCGCAGTGGCGTCTTCCACCTCAACCGAAGCACTCCGCTAGAGAGCCCCGCTTCTACCTGTGGCTGGCTACCACCAGCCCCTCTTTGCCGTAAGAACTCCTCCATCGACTTCACGCGTGATGCCTTGCTCGTCGTCCTTGGCTGCTAAGTAGCCATAGAGGGATGACGAAGCTGGAGGCGCCTGGCTCCCATCCATAGCCGGAGGTTGAAGACAAAGCTGACATGTGGGGCCCATGTGTCAGCGAGTAGAGGGAGAGAAGCAACAGGGGTAAATAGGTCATTTCGCATGCTCTGTAGGCCTTCTCAGGCTCACTACCACGCTGGCATGTCCACTTGGCGTGCCATGTCAGCAAAAATGACAAAAACATAGGAGATTCACTATTTGCGATGACAATTATGTAGGAGCGCGTATAAAAGTGGCAAACGAAGGAGTGTCATCCGTAAGGATGGCAAAAAGTTAAAAATCCCCAACGTGTTGGGCGACCGACCTCAGGCCTCGCCCCTTTCCCCGATGGCCCCCGAGTCATCGCCATTGCCCGCCCTCGCTCGGCTCGATCCCCACCGGGATATTTAACTTTTTACCATTATAACGGATGACGACTCCTCATATAGCACTCTTAGGATTGGTGATACGGTTTTAGCAGCAGAGAGATAAAATCGATACACATTTGCCACTTTTGCTCACGTGGCACACCAGCACCGTAGTCCCGCTTGATCCGAGTCAGCAGGTTCAACTAAAATGACCGCCCTTGCCCCTAGCTTCTCTATTCTCCCCCCTCATTGACACATGGGCCCCACAAGTCAGATTCTCCTTCAACCTCTAGCCATCACCACGTAGTGAGCGAAGGGGAGGAGCTCGTGCAGTCAGACGAGTGTGGTAGGGGCGGCATGGGTGGCAGGGCCTCCCTCCCTCACCGATGGAGCTCGTGTCGCTTGCCTGTGCCTTATAGGTGGCTGGCAGCTACTAGTAGCTAGCTAGGGAGGCCAGGTCGTGTGTCCTAGCTTGTCGAGGCAGCAACAAGCGTCGCGTGGTCGATCTACTTGGCTCGGTTGGCCCTCCTCCTTGGCTCGAGGGCAATCGCTGGAGCCGGGGTCACACTCGCCGGAGCCGGTCGTGCTCACCGGAGCCCGGGTTGCCGCTAGAGAGCGGGAAGGCGGCGCTTCGCCGGCCACTTGGTCACGCCCATTGCGAAGCGGGAAGGGCGCGCGCCAGATTCAGAGCAGCGGCTTTCGCTCGAGGAGGAGGGATCGAGCCATGGCCGAGCGCATCAACGCACGCCGTGGAGGAGCTCGTCGCGCGGGTTTGGCAAGGACACGCTCTCGTCTGGGACGCGCGAGAGAACAAACGCTCTCGTCCGTGGTTGACTAGTTGTCGTCGACATGGTGGCGGTGGCCTCGGACAGCAGCTGCCGTGACGAGGCCGTTGAGGTCGGCGGCGAGCTGGACATTGACGGCGAAGAAGCCATGGACGACGAGGAGTTCAACCTAGGCCTTGACATGGCAGACACGGTGTTGTTGTTGTTGGGAAGAGACGTCAAAGGCGCAGCAGTGATGCCATCAGGCTCCTGTATCTCCCCACGCAGAGCTGGTGAGTGGTGACCATAGAGCAGCATTCACTCAGTCGTCGTCGCCGAGTAGGTGCTTCTCTAGCTCCCGCAACAACACCAGCTCTCTAGCCATCAAGCGACCCAAAGCCGACAGCCTGACCAACTCTTGTGGAGGCGCGCAGCCACCATCCGCCGCTGCAACAGTGGCGACATCAGCGACCGTAGCGTCTCCATGTACGACGCGGTGGTGAGGGACGGCGTGGGTCCAATCTCTGGACCTGGCCTGGGATCTCTCGCGACTCACGGGCCTCGGGCATGGAGCACGACCTCGATCCCACGTGCACCGCTGGACCTGGAGCATCGGAGCAAGGCACACAGCTCAGGCCGACATTCGACACGCTGCACAGCTTCGCTCACACGGGCCGACGTGCCTATCAGAGAACTGCTGCTCATCCACGACCACCCCTGCTTCACCGGCGGAGCGCCCGTCGGCTCGGAGGAAGGAGACGCGCCCGCCAAAGCACAGTCCTTCCCCTGTAGAAGACGCGCCCGCGGCGGCTTCGTCAAGAAGGTCGCCTGCGATGAAGAAAAACATAAGCTGGGACTGCACAAGCTCCTTCCTTTTCCTCATTGTGTGGTGATGGCCGGAGGTTAAAGGAGAATTTGACATGTGAGGCTCACGTGTCAGTGAGAGGGGGAGATAGAAGATGGAGAATAGAGAAGCCAGTGACAGGGACAGGGCGGTCATTTTATCTGAGGCTGCTGACTCGGATTGCTGCTGACTCGGATTCAAGCTGGGCTGCATCGCGACGTGCCACGTGAGTAAAAGTGACAAATGCATATCGATTTTCTCTCTCTACTACTAAAGCCGTATCGCCAATCTAAAAGTGCTATCTGAAGAGTCACCATCCGTTATACAGCATGTTTGCTGGTATGATTTTTAGGTTGATAAACCGAGTTGATGTTAGTTTATTGTGAAAGAAAAATAATATTGGCATAAGATAAACCAACGAGCGAACTCGCTGATAATGATAAAAAGTTAAATATCCGATCCCCACCCTACCGGCTACCGCGCCGGCGCGCCCGCCACCAACCCCGCCTCCGCTGCACGCTACTAAAGCCGAGCCCGCACGGCCGCACCCACCACCATGCTTCTCCCCCTCGTCAGATCCCGCCCGCTCCTCCTCCACCGCGCCGCGCGCCTGTCCTCCCCGCGCACCCGCCTGCTCCTCCGCCGCGACGCGCTCCCGCTCCCGCTCGCGCGTTCCCCGGCTGTTCGCATGGCGGCCTCGTCCGGCTCCGGCGCCAGCTCCCCTGCCCCGGCGCCGCCTGCTGCCGTGGTGAGTTCCCCGTCCCCCTTCGGTGCTGCTCGTGCCACTCTAATGTGCTGCGCTGCAGTCAGTCCGCTAATCGTAGTCGTAGCAGTAATATCTTAGGAGTGAGATGCGTGCTTCCTGAATCGGTTAGGGCGTTCACTCAATACAGTGAGTAGTGACCGTGCCAATTGCCAAATGGGATTGGCTTCCCATGCAGCCCAAAACGGCCGATGTGCTCTCTAGTAAAATCGCAGTGTTTTCTATGCTAGTACAATACAATCATCTACTCTGTCTAATGCTGTGGCATCCAGACCACAGCAAAGTTCCGTGTCAGTTCTCCTGGACTGCGCAAGGTTAAATATGCATTAGTCTGACTGCTAACTGTCAAGTGATCAGTACCAATCCGCACAAGGTTCATGACTCTGCAATGTTTATTTCCTGAGACATATACACTGATTTAACTGTTGTTGTGAAGAAAAAATGTTAAAGGCTTAATCTCAGCAAACCGTTCTTCTGCAGGTGCACAAGTCAAAGATCAAATTCTGCCCTGCTTGTGGAAGTCCGACGAAATTGGCCATACCTGATGGTGATGAGAAGATGAGGGCTGTTTGTTCTTCTTGTGGAAGAGTTCACTACGAAAACCCAAAAATGGTATATGCTGAACAAATAAAAGAAAAATAAAATGATGCATATGCATTTGGATTTGTACTTTAAATCAAGACACTGATTTGCTTGATTCATAGAGCCCGTGTTTTTCATTCATGTATGAAGTGCTTCTAACGAACAGAACTGCACCATTTTCTTCATACATTTATTTAAATGATTGGTGAAACAAGGGACTATAACTTTTTTTTAACGTAAACAAGGGACTATAACTAGCAATGAATTTTTTTTGTTATATATGTGTAACATGTGTTGGCTGTTAATTTCTGACATTTACAATATATACCATCTGGATAGGTTGTTGGTTGCCTTGTGGAGCATGATAATAAGGTTCTCCTATGCAGAAGAAAGATTGAACCGGCTTATGGTCTTTGGTAAGTTCCCTTTGATGTTTTCCCTTCGATTTTTTGTTCTGATTTTAGTCTGCGCTATAATAGTTAATTGCATAACTGTACTATGTTTTTATATTCTCATGCAACAATTTTTGACTATGTACGACAGATGCAGATTTGCAGTATATGTTAGCCGGAACTTTTTGCCTGTACTGTTTAGGATACAACGCCATATTATAATATAGGTTTTCTGTATTGTTTTTATTTTCTTCTTTGTGTTAGGAATGGCTCTTTTCTGTTTTCATTTACAAACTCCCTAGCTGATAGGATTATGCTTTTCTTATCTTTTAATGTGGTACCAATCATTACAGTACCAATTTCATGTTCTTTCTGTCAAAACTTTTCTTAGTCTTGTGCACCATGAACAATTTTTTTTTATTGTTGAACATAGCAATCATGTACTGCTGTCCTCCAGTTTGATCAAGGTTACATTAACAGGACACTTCCTGCTGGTTATTTAGAGGTGGGGGAGTCTACTGCTGAAGGAGCCTCTAGAGAAACATTGGAAGAAGCATGTGCAGATGTAGAGATAATCTCACCTTTTGCTCAGTTGGATATTCCACTGATTGGCCAAGTGAGTGAAAATTTGGCATCGTCACAAAGTTATAAGTTACTCCGTCCACTACTTAGTTGATTATCTTTGTATTACGATGAGATGCAGTAGAGTTACATTATTTTCCGAGCAAGACTGAAGACGCCCAACTTTTCACCTGGACTGGAGTCGCTAGAATGTGCACTTTTTGCTCTGGATGATATACCATTTGATTCTCTAGCATTTTCTTCAATCTTTGTCACCTTAAGGATGGTATGCCCCCTCCCTGATGTCTCCCTGCCTGCTCCACATTTGCTCTGGTCGTCTATAGGTTTTACACTAAATGCTTTAAACATGTCTACAATTTGTCACAGTATACTGAAGATGTGAAGTCTGGAAGCATCAAATTTCACTATTGCACTATAAACAAAAGGTAAATCATCCCTTTTTGTAGTAACTGATCATTGTCATCGTTCATAATTCTGATGGCTTTTACAACTTAGGAAGTTTATGAATCTTGCTCTAGTTTCCTATGTGGTCTGTTGATGTCTCACTGCAAATTTTCTGCAGCACTCACCTATAAGACCTATAAGCCAATCTTGCAGCATGTTCAAGTTTACGAATCCTGCTCTAGTTTCCTATGTTGTCTATAACTTGTGTTATGCAACTTGGTTTACAGGTTAGGAGCCAGCCCTTCAGATCTTCGGAGTTTCGATATCGATAACCATATTGCTGTGTGAGGTTGAAAAGTTCTAAACCTTTTGCGATTGGGGGAATGGTTTTGGCATACAACAGGCACAAGGTAACACAGTGAAAACATTGCCATCAGATCGGCCAGTCTTGTCTGTTGAACCCCCATTGGAGCCTTGTTTGGCGCCTCCCTGCAGATTGGAACAAATTTAAAGTAGGTGCTGGAACTGTAAATGATTCAGTATCGTAAAGCCTGGTTTAACCTTTTTAGGAGATTCTGCATTTGGATCTCATGGGAGGACTGATAATTGTATCGTAGTGCAGTAAATCTTGGGTGTAGGACTGAGCTATCCTGCATGCCATGGTTGTGGCGCTTCTTCAGTGACCACATGCTGTAATCTGGTTACAATTGAATCCTGTGAGCTCTTCAACCATTTCAGTTGTAAAGCTTGTGTTGCATCATCTTTTATCTTCAGATCGATCTGAGTGCTAAATACATGTGCAGCCTTGCTCGTTCGTGATTATTTGCATCCTCAAAACAGCAGAAAGTATACTTCGTCTCGTGACAGGTATACAAGTCCATCAAGTTTGTTCATCGAAGTCAAAAGGAAAAATAACTTTGACTAGCAATATCTCTAAAATAATTACTTGAATGAAAACTCAAATATTATAAGATTAGGTTTGATTATGAATATAGATGTAAACCTTGTATTGCCAATGGTACAGAATTTATTCTTGGTAAGTTAGGAAAGTACTCCCCCCATTTAAGAAAATTATACAATTTTAGGTGCATTCTTTGTTTAAAAAAGTTACCAAATATATAGGTAAAAATATTAACGTTTATGACACGAAAATAAGTATAGTATGAAAATATATCTCACAACAAATCTAACGAATACTTTAGCTGTACTGTTTAACTTGTACTGTGCTAGAATATTGATGTTCTTTTATATATAGTTAGTTAAACTCAAAATACTTTAACTGTACTGTTTAACTTGTACTGTGCTAGAATTCTGGACGAAAGGAGTATCTATTACCTTGCATGAAAGGTAGTATACTACTGTATTAGAATTAATTACTCTTGAGCCCTTGATTATGAATATAGCATGTCAATCTTCTTTTTTCCTTTTGCGAATATATAGTTATATAGTATGTCGATCTTGCGCTGACAATCTGTGCAAATTTTTAGATATTCGTTGTTAGTTTGACCTAGAACAAATCTGGATGGTTTTATAAGCATTGTACACGTGCAGCCAATTTACCCGGCTCTAGGAGCATGATGGCTTAGTGAGAGTGTGAGACCATGGCTTTGAGTCACTGCAGTTTATTCAGGTCACCACCGAGGTGAAAAACCTGCAGAATTGGGATAACGGGTGTTAGCCCATCAGCTAACCATGTCCGTGACCAGCAGGAAGATGAAAGCCCAGCTGAGCCGTCGAGCCCAGGAGTGTGCCGGCTCGGGACCGGGTCGTCGAGCCCAGGAGAGCGCCGACCCAGAAGGCCCAACAACTGCTTATTCGGCCCAACCTGGTCCAATAGCTAGGCTGTCTTCGTGTAGAGCAAGGGAGGCGACGAGAGTATATGTTTCGAGAACTGAGAGCTAGAGGGCATGGAAGAACTGTAACCCATTACAATTTGTTCTAAATTCAAGTACTCGTCGTTGTTCGTCGTTATACTTTCTGCTGCCTATTTCCGATTCCAGTTCTTCCTTTTCGTATGCATAGAACATTAAAAGGTTAACTACGTTTAATTACACGCTTTAATTGTAAATAACGACGAATTTTTTGAGCCTAATTAATCCATGATCGGATAAAGTTTATCAAATACAAACGAAACGTGGTACCGTGTCCGGATTACAAAAATTTGCAATCTAAACTTGGCCTAAATTCAAAATTGGTATCGGATTCGTTCGATCCTGGACTCCTACCCAACTCATCACCACTTTACCCGCCTCCAACGCCGTCTCGGTGCCATGGATCCCGCGCTCCAGTTCGTCCTCGACACCATGAACAACCGCTTCGACGAGCTTGACCGCCGCTTCACCGAGCGGGATCGCGCGGCAGCAGATCGGGCTGCAGCCATCGATTCGCGTTTCGCGGCGCTGGAGGCGACTCAATCGGCTGCGGCTTCCGCCGCCGCCACCACCGCGGCCGCGCTGGAGCAGCGCCTCTCCGGATTGGGGTCCGCCCGTCTCACGCCTGTGGCGGCCGCCATCGAGCAGCGCCTGACTACCCTCGAGGCCAACTACATCGATCGGGACGCCGACTACTCCCAGCGCATCTCCGACCTGGAAGCCCTCCAAGCCGCCCCCAAGTCGGAGGAGCACGACTCCAGGGTGGTGGCCCTCGAGAAGGCGACCGCGGATCTCGCTGCCTGGCGCCCAGACATGGAGGGTCTCGTGGATGATGTGCGGCTTCAAGTCCAGAAGCTCGATTCCAAGTGTGACCGCATGGTGTTCGACACTATGCCGCATGGCAGGGGACTCATGCAACCACCGGCCGCGACAACTGCGACCGCCACCGCCGGAACATCTCATGCTTCGCCCAGTGGGCACCGCGCCGCCTCGACTCCACGGGATGTGGGTTCCGGGGTCGTCACGACCTGGACGCACGTCCCAGCCAAGGGTACGTGTTTCCCCTCTCCTCCTGCTCCCGATCCTCCTGGATTCATGTTTCCCCCTCCTCCACCACCTCCTCATCCGAATCCACCTCCACCGTTTCCTCCTCCGCCACCGCCTCATCAGAATCCTCCACCAGCGTTTCCTCCTCCTCCACCACCTTCTCATCCGACTCCACAAACACCACGACATCCGTTCTACCTGGCGCCATTACCACCCCGACCGCCGGGAGCCGCCGTTGCCGCTAACCCCACCGCTCCACCTGCCATCGGTCAACTTCCCAAGCTCTCCTTTCCCCGTTTTGACGGTGATAACCCTCGCCATTGGCGCTCCCTTTGCGTCGATTACTTTGAGATGTACCTTGTTCCTTCATCCATGTGGGGTCGCATATCTAAGCAGCATCTCGATGGTGCAGCGGCTGGCTGGTTTCAATCAATTGAGCCCGAGCTTGACTTCTCTGATTGGCAGGGTTTTTGCCGCCTCCTTCATGATTGTTTCGACCACGATCAAAAGGAATTGCTTATTCGCCAACTTTTTCATGCAAAACAAACTTCCACTGTGGCTAAGTATGTTAAGTTGTTCACAGAGTTAGTGGATCAACTAAAAGCCTATTCTCAATCCACCGATCCTATGTTTTATACTATGCGCTTCATAGATGGTTTGAGAGCTGATATTAAAGCCATTGTGCTTGTTTTGCGCCCCAAAGATTTGGATACTGCTTGCACTGTTGCATTGTTGCAGGAGGAGTCAGCCTCGACGACAGCTCGTGTGCCACGCATGGGTGATTGGTCTTCGTCATCCAAGTCGTCCTCCATCCCACGCACCGCGTTACCACTGCCACTTCCTCCTACTCGTCAAGACCAGAACACTTCTATGGCCCAAGCTGCCCCATCGGTTACTGATGCAAAATTGGCGGCGATCAAGTCTTACCGCAGGGCTTTGGGTCTTTGTTTCAAATGTGGTGTTAAATGGTCAGAGGACCACAAGTGTGCTCCGGAAGTCCTTCATGTGGTCGGAGTTCTATGGGACTCATTTTCAGAAGAGGATTGTTCAGCTGCTCTTGACAGTAATTCTGCTCTAGATGAACAGTTGTGCCTGGCTCTGTCCAAGGCGGCTTCCAGTGGTTCTGCAGCTGCTCGGACCATCAGATTCCAAGGTTCAATCGGGGGCATTCCGGCGATTTTGTTGCTTGATTCTGGCAGTTCCACTTCCTTCCTTAGCACAGAATTGGCTGAGCAATTATCACAGTTTCAGTCTGTTCCTCAAACTTCACAGGTTCAGATTGCTGGCGGCAGTATTCTTCAGAGCAATGGGATTCTTAAGTCAGGCAACTGGTCTGTGGATCACTGTACTTTCCATTCTGATTTCAGAATTCTGCAGTTGTCAACTTTTGATGCTATCATTGGGATGGATTGGTTGACCTCGTTCAGTCCTATGCACATTGACTGGCAACAGAAATGGATGGTTATTCCTTTATCAGGGTCAGTGGACAGTGTTACAAGGCCTGGGAGTCGACTTGCCAGGCAAGGTCTGTCTCCAGTTGTGCTCGGCCTCTGAGTTACCGGTGGCGTCATCTGCGGTTCCGCAGTTACCTCCAGCTATCCAACAGCTTGTTGACTCATTTGCGATCTATTTGAGCCTCCCACCACACTGCCTCCGTCTAGACCTTGCAATCATTCCATACCACTACTTCCTGGTGCCCAACCCATTTTCATTTGTCCTTACCGCTACCCTCCAAGCTTGAAGGACGAAATTGAATGCCAAGTCAATGACATGCTGTCCCAAGGTATTATCCAGCCAAGCTCTAGTTCCTTTGCATCACCGGTCCTTTTGGTCAAGAAAAAGGACGGCTCCTTCCGTTTCTATGTTGATTTTCGGCATCTTAATGCCATGACTGCCAAATCCAAATTTCCAGTACCGGTCTTTGATCAGCTCATGGATGAGTTAGCCCACTCCAGCTGGTTTTCTAAGCTCGACCTTCGGGCAGGATTTCATCAGATCCTCATGGCACCAGGCGAGGAACACAAAACTGCGTTTCAGACGCACCTCGGGCAATACGAATTCAAGGTGATGGCCTTCGGGTTAACGGGAGCTCTGGGCACTTTCCAGCTGGCCATGAATTCCACTCTTGCTCCCGGTCTGCGGCGATTTGTGATTGTCTTCTTCGATGATATCTTAATTTACAGTCATACCTTCAAAGACCACTTACATCATTTGGCTTTGGTTTTTGCTTGGTTAAAGGCCGATCAGTGGAAGGTCAAGTTATCCAAGTGCACCTTCGCACAACGTTCCATCTCATACTTGGGTCATATTGTCAGTGAAGCTGGAGTGGCAACCGACCCTGAGAAAGTTCGCGCAATCACTGACTGGCCAGTTCCTAAAAATGTCAGAGCTCTACGGGGATTTCTTGGCTTAGCCGGTTATTACCGGAAATTTGTCCGTCATTTTGGCATCATGGCTCATCCACTCAATGATCTACTCCGGAAAGACGCTATTTTCGTTTGGTCGTCGATTCATGATTCAGCCTTCAGAGCTCTCAAAGATGCGATGTCTTCTGCACCTGTGCTGGCTCTCCCGGACTTTTCTTTGCCTTTCCATATGGAGACAGATGCGTCTGGTACAGGCATTGGCGCAGTCCTCCAGCAAAAAGGACATCCTCTGGCCTTTATCAGTAAATCGCTCAGCCCGCGCAACCAAGGGTTGTCAACTTACTAGAAAGAATATCTTGCTATTCTTATGGCAGTAGATTCTTGGCGCCACTACTTGATGCAGAATGAGTTTATTATACACACTGATCACAAGAGCCTGATCCACCTCAACGAACAACGTCTACACACCCCATGGCAATAGAAAGTATTCTCCAAATTATTGGGCTTGCGATACTGGGTTGTCTACCGCCGCGGTGTTGATAATGGTGTGGTGGATGCTCTGTCCACCGTGCTCCCTCTGAGTCACTGTTGGCTATTTCCTCCCCTTCACATGACTGGTTGGCTTCCATCCAAGATTGGTATGCTGCCAATCCAGAAGCATCCTCTCTGTTATCTCAACTGGCTGTCAATGGCAATGCTCGGCCCCCCTTCACACTGCAGCAAGGCATTATTCGCTATAAGGGTCGAATCTGGCTTGGGAATAACAAATCTCTGCAACTCCAAGTGATTGCAGCATTACTTGATAGCGCAGTCGGCGGCCATTCCGGTGCACCCACTACTATACAGAAGGTTCGCAACCTGTTTTTCTGGCCGGGCATGAGAGCTTCCATCTTACAATATGTGCAGCACTGCTCAGTTTGCCTTCAGGCGAAGCCCGATAGAGCTCGTTACCCCGGTTTGCTTGATCCACTACCTGTTCCATCAGCTGCTTGGGAGATTATATCTTTGGACTTTGTCGAAGGATTGCCTTTGTCTGGAGGGGCCAATTCTACATTGGTGGTAGTCGACAAGTATTCAAAGTTTGCACACTTCCTGCCTTTAAGGCACCCTTTCACTGCTGCCACGGCTGCAAGAGTGTTCATGGACAATATTTACAAGCTACATGGGCTACCCAAGTCGATTATCTCCGATCGCGACCGGGTTTTCACAAGCAAACTTTGGCAACTGCTGTTCAAGCTGGCTGGGATTCAGTTGTGCATGAGTTCATCGTATCACCCACAAACCGATGGTCAAACGGAGCGTCAACCAGTGGATGGAAACTTACCTCTGCGACTTCGTTCACGCCTGCCCGGCGCGTTGGTCACACTGGCTCTCCATGGCGGAATTCTGGTATAACACGAGCACTCATTTAGCCATGGGCCGCACTCCGTTTGAGGTTCTGTATGGGTTTCCCCCTCGTCATCTGGGCATCGATGTGGCTGCTGCAGCTCCTGTGCCTAACCTTCATCAGTGGCTTGAGGAACGTGAGTTGATGCAAGACCTGGTCCGTCTTCATCTTCAGCGTGCCCAAGACAGGATGCGTCGCCTGGCTGATAAGCGCCGATCAGAGCGCTCTTTCAATCCTGGTGATTTGGTTTTTCTTAAACTCCAGCCTTATGTGCAGTCTTCAGTGGCCAGACGAGGCGCATCACAAGCTCGCCTTCAACTTCTTTGGGCCTTTCAGAATTCTGGAACGCACTGGCAAAGTGGCATATAAGCTAGACCTGCCACCAGGAGCCTCTGTCCATCCCATTTTTCACGTTTCCCAGCTGAAGTTCTCCCCAGGCGGCAACACTGTAAGCACTTCGCTTCCATCTGACCTTACATTGTTCCAGGTTCCAGAGCGTGTGCTGCAGCATCACTGGACGTCTGGTTCTCACCAAGTGGAGCAAGTCTTCATCAAATGGTCTCATATGCAGGTTTCTCTGGCAACTTGGGAGTCTGCTGATCACCTTCGTGGAAGGTTTCCTCTGGCGCCGGCATGGGGTCATGCCGCTTCTCAAGACGGGGGGAGTGTTAGCCCATCAGCTAACCATGTCCGTGACCAGCAGGAAGATGAAGGCCCAGCCGAGCCGTCGAGCCCATGAGTGCGCCGGCTCGGGGCCGGGTCGTCGAGCCCAGGAGAGCGCCGACCCAGAAGGCCCAACAACTGCTTATTCGGCCCAACTTGGTCCAATAGCTAGGCTGTCTTCGTGTAGAGCAAGGGAGGCGACGAGAGTATATGTTTCGAGAACTGAGAGCTAGAGGGCATGGAAGAACTGTAACCCATTACAATTTGTTCTAAATTCAAGTGCTCGTCGTTGTTCGTCGTTATACTTTCTGCTGCCTATTTCCGATTCCAGTTCTTCCTTTTCCCAAATTCCCTTGTTGCTAACAACGGAATTGCCGGCTGGTAAGTGTATCCCGCTTTATCAAGCACATTCGATTAGACCAAGCGGGCGAGGAACTTATCCGCAGGGTCCCGGACCACAAGCGCCATTCGCGCGATAAGTGTCCCGCATGACGGCACTTATCACCTTGGGAATATGACCACTTTGTGCCCTTTCTTTTCTCTAACAATATTCTCGAGCACCAGGCTCCCGGTAATGTAAGAATCATACAACGGGATGCAAAGCTATGGTAGTATCATTTCAGCAAAATATACGTCCCTGGCGCACCAAAACAGAAGTACAGACGGACCAAAGAAGATCACAATTATTCTCTAGCGGGCTCACAGGACCCTCACAGCGGAAGCGGAATGCACATGAAAATTACAAAAGATAGAGCTCAGTGGAGTGATTAGGGTTGGCAGCTCCTGTGACATGTCCTTGGGAAAAATTGGCGACGGCAAGCATCGCTTAAAGATCCTCAGGGCCATTGACATCCTGGAGCGAGCAGAAACCATGTGTCAGCGCACACTAAAGCACAGCAGTTGGAAATGTCATATCGATTTGGTGTTGCTTATACCTTGTTCTCAAGTACAGCTCCATCTGGAATCTCCAACTTCGCTCCAGACTTAGCAGTGATTGTCACCTTGCCCTAGAGATAGCACCAAAAATATGAATCAGGCACTATTCAGTAACACAGATGCCACAACTCAACGAGGAGGCGGTATGGAGTGTGGAATGACCAGATACAAGACCATATCAGACAAACAGCTGACAAAATTTGCACCAGGTATTCATGTCCAAATACAACGTCATACAGTGCCTAAGCGGCAAATATGGCAACAAAAGAGAAAGAACCATCCAATCACAAAGTTTACCTTGAGTGTAATTCCAGAGCCAAACCAGACATCACCAGAAACCTTCAAGCTGTCAAGCTCGACGATGCTGGGGATGGACTTTAACCGAGCAAGGAAATTGGCAACCTGTATTAGGGGGAAAATATTTCATCAGTGCTTGGTGATCAACACCAGTTGAAAGGAGTGGCAGTTTCTACTGATCAATGGTTTCATCAGCATTTCCCCTATATTAATTAAATATAAACAGCAGTTCCTTCCGGTTTACGTTAAAAAAAATGGTTTCATCAACACATTACTCTGTTTTTAAAGATATCTTCATTATCTTGGAGACAAACTGCTTTACCTTCTTGAACTCAGGTCCAAGCTCAATCGAAGGGTTAGCTGGATTCGCTCTGGATGGGTTGCGGATGACAAAGCCATCAACCAAGGTGTAAAGATCAGACTGTGGAAACAAAAATGAGCATAGCATTGAGCCATCAACAAAATTGAGCTTAGAACCAGGCTTATTATGATATCAGACTAACAAAACACAAAACATTGAGATGCATCCAGAAATACCTGCACAAGCAACAAGTCAGATGTAGCCTTCACTGGGAGAAACCTTGAGCGAGGAACATTAATTCCAATCGCTTTGTCGAAGAACTAGTTAAAGGTAACAAAAGTATCAGAGCTCGAATATAAGGAAAAAATGGAACAAAACTGAGTACTGGGACAGGGAGTTGTTTGCGTACCCGAATAGCTGCACCAGCTGCAGTTTCGAGTTGAAGGACTTTCACACCATCAACTTCCTGTAAATGCCAACTTCTTAGTAGAAGAACCCAACATTTGTAATAGCACTCAAACAAAGAATCTGATTGATGCACTACAATATAAATGCTATGCAAAGGATATCATAAAGATTCAGATAGGTGACATACCTTGGGGTTTGGAATAATTTCCATCTTAAGTGCCTCAGACTCTACGAGTCTCTTAATAGCTTTAAGGTTCACCCACCTGTTGGGCAAGAACTGTTAGAGAAAGAGATTTTCCCCCCCTAAAAGATAGGCCAGGTTTCTTACAAATTGTTAGTGTTGAATATCTTAAACTTCTCAATTGATTTAAATTCATTCACCTGGATAGAGATACAAGAGAAATAGAAAAGGTTGTGTTAGCTCTTACTACAAAAGGTCGATGAAATCATGGAACAGATTATGAAACTTTAACACAGAAACAGCAACATACATGCTCATCAGGTACTTGGGCAATCTCCAAAAGCTGCATAAATATCATAAAATGAATCAGTATCATCTTATGCTAGAATGCCAGAATGAACAAGTAAGCATAGTTGTCTGTCATAAATACAAAGTTCTAACTTTCGAGTACTATTAAAGGTTCAAAAACCTCTTTTTGATGTTGAAACCAGTAAAGATGGGCAATAAACTAGCAGTGTGCAGAGAAATTATTCAAGTTGAGCAACAGACAAGTGTAATGTGTACCTGAACTCTTCCTTCGTAAGAGATGAGAGTACCGCCCTTAACATCAGCCAGCGTCTTTGGAGTAACCTAGAATAAATACAGTTCTTGAGTTTTATGTTACACACACTCAACAGCAGTATAAACAAGACATTCTTGCATACCTCCATGCAGTACTCGTTCTGGTTATTGATCAGATGGTTTAGGATCTCTGTGCTGATTAAGGATACCATTTTCAATTCAAAGCACACGGCAATAGTAAGTAGTAAAACAGGAAATAAATTATGCAAATTTGATCATCCTATTTGGATACTGATATCGACAATAGCACCCAAGTTGTCTGAGTTTGCAACAAAGACATACTCCTTGCCCTGATATAGGATTGCGAAACAGATTAGCAAAACTACTGTAACAAAGCAACAAGATAAATGCTCAGTTAGAGCTATCAGTGTACTATTGTGGTTTCATTCATTAGTCAATAAAAGGTTCTGGAAATTGCACAGTTATTTCAGCTTATATTTCTTAGGAAGAAAAGAGAAACAGCCTCAATATATTCAATTGCCTTCAGAAGCAAGCTTGCCTTTATTTAGACCACAACATGCACTCTCTCTTTACATAGAAAGCATTGAAGGGCCTCAAACAGTGAAATATGATTTATGAATAACACACGACAATAGTACATTGTAAAGGAATATAACTTGTTTTCCTTTCATGAAGTAACCCTTCGTAATGTAGAAGACTACAGCAATTAATATTTAAGTGCAATCTGAACCCAAAAAGATTAATATCTGGAAACCATTGAGTACAAAATCAGTTTCCAGATCACTTATGCTTGCCAACTACAAAGAGAAGCTTAATGCGACTTCTGCTTACCTGAGCCAATAAGAGGTCAAGTTTTCCGCTGTTATTCAAAGAAGGGAACACATCACCATGGCCTGGAGGATACCTTTCACACCAAAAATCACAACAATCAGATGGGGGTATTGCCTTTCTTCAAATATGCTATAATTGAGGTATGGTTCAAACTATATCTAAAAGCCTTTACCATAAATAATCCAACAAGCAAGGTGAGATTCCATTGGGAGTAGTCATTGGAAGAACATTTTGACTTCTATAATAACCTAAGAGAGAAAACTAGACTTCTATAATAACCTAAGAGAGAAAACTAACCAGCCATCCTTCCCAGATTTCCCTTTGCTTGGAAGTGGCAAGAAGTCCTCGGTAACAATGCGAGGATACTGGCTCTGTAGAAGACAATGCAAATTTATCAGCTAACATTGCTTGCCACTCCAAAATGCCATATAATTGAAACAAGTGTAGTTGAAGTATAACAAAAACAGGCTGCAAACCTGATTGAAAGTATGAATTTCAATGTTGGAGTTGGAATACTTCTCAACAATCTTCAGGGAAGAGAAAAGGTAAGTGGCAAGCATGTTAGTACAAGTCTAAGAACTCAACATTTAATGAACATTGAATACAAAAGCATGTTAGTACAGGTCTAAGAACTCGTCAATTTAATGAAGACAAGCAAAGGGGAAACAGAACCTTCTGTGTGTCATCATGGGTGTTGAAAGAGTTCATCAGAAGTAAAGGGACACTGCATCCATACTTCTTGTTCAGGGACTGCAGAGACATGTAAACTAATAAGGCATAGACCGATACTTCCATATCCAAACAGTAAGAAAAGATGTTTAGGTTAATGAAGAATACCTCAATTTGAATCACAATAAGGTCAAGGAATGTGAACCCATTGCGGACTTCAATGACAGACCTGCAAACCATAGGAATCTTAGTTGTGCTAACTGCTCAAAGATGAAGGAATTGCCATAAGTCCATAACATCTCAAGGATCATGCATAGCAGCACAAATAACTAATTAATTAATTAAAAATGTATCAGGTGACTAAGTGCGGCTAATACCTATCAAATTTGTCTCACTAGATTAAGCGAACAATGATATGCCGGGAAGCCTTATGACGCATAATTAACCAACAATTCGATTACAAATGTGTCAGCATGTCAATGCACTACTAGTTGAGGCATTAAGAACACTCCATAAGAAAGTAATACAGGCAGCTGCAGCGCATTAGGAGTTGAGCAGATAAACAATTTGATCTCCTCATCACATCAAACAACATATGCACACAGCCACTCATCAATTCACTCATTTTGAAGAATGGAAGGAGGTCTAAACCTATTGGAATCTCAACACAGTGAAAAGGGACAACAGTATGAGCATTTGAAAGTGACAACTAAAGTATTCCATTCCATATTCTTCCAGATCACAAACATTGAAAGCTCCACTGGTGGGCCAATAAAAACAACATTAATAGGACAGGTCATACTATAACAATGATACAGTACAAAATGACATTTGAGCATGCACACCAAAATCCAAAGAACAACGCAGTTGC